GGGACATGCTACAGGATGTGGTCAGACTGGGGACATGCTACAGGATGTGGTCAGAGACTGGGGACATGCTACAGGATGTGGTCAGAGACTGGGGACATGCTACAGGATGTGGTCAGAGACTGGGGACATGCTACAGGAGGTGGTCGGGAACTAGGGACATGCTGCAGGATGTGGTTGGAGACTGGGGACATGCTACAGGAGGTGGTTGGAGACTGGGGACATGCTACAGGAGGTGGTTGGAGACTGGGGACATGCTACAGGAGGTGGTTGGAGACTGGGGACATGCTACAAGACATGGTTGGAGACTTGGGACATGCTACTGGAGGTAGTTGGGGACTAGGGACATGCTGCAGGACATGGTTGGAGACTGGGGACATGTTACGATGTGGTTGGAGACTGAGGACATGCTACTGGATGCCGTTGGAGACTGGAGACATGCTACAAGATGTGGTCAGAGACTGGAGACATGCTACTGGAGGTGTTCAGAGAATAGGGACATGCAACAGGAGGTGGTTGGAGACTTGGGACATGCTATAGGCCGTTGTTGGAAATTGGGGACATGCTACAAGATATTGTTGGAGTTTGTAGACCTTCTACAGGATGTAATTGGAAACTGGGGCTATATTACAGTATATGATTGGAGACTGGGGACATCCTACAGGATGTATTTGGAGACTGGGGACATGCTACAGGATGTGGTCGGAGACTGGGGACTTGCTGAAGTAGGTGGTCGGAGACTGGGACGTAGTTGGAGACTGGGGACATGCTGCAGTAGACTGTCAGAGACTGGGGCCATGCTGCAGGATGTGTTTGGAGACTGGGGACATGCTGCAGGATGTGGTTGGGGACTGGGGACTTGATGCAGTAGGTGGTCGGAGACTGGGACGTAGTTGGAGACTGGGGACATGCTGCAGGATGTTGTTGGAGACTGAGACTTAGTTGGAGACTGGGGACATGCTGCAGTAGGTGGTCGGAGACTGAGACTTAGTTGGAGACTGGGGACATGCTGCAGTAGGTGGTCGGAGACTGGGACATAGTTGGAGACTGGGGACATGCTGCAGTAGGTGGTCGGAGACTGGGACATAGTTGGAGACTGGGGACATGCTGCAGTAGACTGTCAGAGACTGGGGCCATGCTGCAGGATGTGTTTGGAGACTGGGGACATGCTGCAGGATGTGGTTGGGGACTGGGGACTTGATGCAGTAGGTGGTCGGAGACTGGGACGTAGTTGGAGACTGGGGACATGCTGCAGGATGTTGTTGGAGACTGAGACTTAGTTGGAGACTGGGGACATGCTGCAGTAGGTGGTTGGAGACTGAGACTTAGTTGGAGACTGGGGACATGCTGCAGTAGACTGTCAGAGACTGGGGCCATGCTGCAGGATGTGTTTGGAGACTGGGGACATGCTGCAGGATGTGGTTGGGGACTGGGGACTTGCTGAAGTAGGTGGTCGGAGACTGGGACGTAGTTGGAGACTGGGGACATGCTGCAGTAGACTGTCAGAGACTGGGGCCATGCTATAACTGTGGTTGAAGGCCGGGGACATGGTACAGGAGACCTCTAGAGATCAATGGTGTCTCATCTTCTCTCCGGTTACTGACTCGTGGTCTGCAGTAGCAGCATTGAACGTACGAAGGGTCTCATTTTGGGTCGAAGGTCGGGCTGCAGGGATGTAGGAGATCAAATATAAGAACATGATTGGTAAAGAGAATCCTGTGGTAAGACTTGGGGCCCCTTGACCTCGGGGCCCCAGACTGGGCATTAGCCTAGCAGGGTGGGCGGTCCTTTCGCCTTCTTCCAGTTTGCAGAATGAAATGTTCATCAGCTGCCAACATCTCTGTTAATATTCGGTGATGTGGATCAGTTGCGGCGTCATGGTGGCAATCGCTGGACAACCCGGCGAATAATCACTTTCCTCGCTTTATTAATTGCGGCACGATCGCTAATGGGGTCGCCTCCCTGGGTGTCGCACGCCAACATCCCGCCAGATCGCAGGCAGGAGAGCAGTTTTTTCTTCCCGGCTGGCACCCCCCCACCCCCACCACCACCATACAGACGTATCACGTCGTCTCTCGCCGTCCTCAACTCATGTGGTGATGCAGAAAAAATGCGCTAATTATACTGATCGCAGGTGCTACCGACAGGGGCTGTGCCGTCTTCCGCCTCGGCAGGAACAGCTTTCCTTAAATGGGCACAAAAAAAATGTTTAAATTTGTCACTTTTTAGGCCGACTGGAGCATGTTCAGTGCCGGGACTTTGTGCTGAGAAATGGATTATTTCACTGATTTTGCAGAAAATAGTTGTGGAATCTTAAAGACGAACTCCAGGCAGCCAGCTGAGTGCACAGGCTTTACGGATACATGGTTGGGTAGGTATATAGATGGGGTGAGGGTTGTTACGGTTAGATGGTTGGGTAGGTATATATTGGGGGGAGGGGTAAGTTACGGTTAGATGGTTGGGTAGGTATATATTGGGGGGAGGGGTTAAGTTACGGTTAGATGGTTGGGTAGGTATATAGATGGGGGAGGGGTTAGGTTACGGTTAGATGGTTGGGTAGGTATATAGATGGGGGGAGGGGTTGTTACGGTTAGATGGTTGGGTAGGTATATAGATGGGGGGAGGGATTAAGTTACGGTTAGATGGTTGGGTAGGTATATATTGGGGGGAGGGGTTAAGTTACGGTTAGATGGTTGGGTAGGTATATATTGGGGTGAGGGGTAAGTTACGGTTAGATGGTTGGATAGGTATATAGATGGGGTGAGGGGTTGTTACGGTTAGATGGTTGGGTAGGTATATAGTTGGGGGGAGGGGTTAAGTTACGGTTAGATGGTTGGGTAGGTATATATTGGGGGGAGGGGTTGTTACGGTTACATGGTTGGGTAGGTATATAGATGGGGGAGGGGTTAAGTTACAGTTAGATGGTTGGGTAGGTATATAGATGGGGGGAGGGGTTGTTACGGTTACATGGTTGGGTAGGTATATAGATGGGGGAGGGGTTAAGTTACAGTTAGATGGTTGGGTAGGTATATAGTTGGGAGGGGTTAGGTTACGGTTAGATGGTTGGGTAGGTATATAGATGGGGGAGGGGTTAAGTTACAGTTCGATGGTTGGGTAGGTATATAGATGGGGGAGGGGTTAAGTTACGGTTAGATGGTTGGGTAGGTATATAGATGGGGTGAGGGGTTGTTACGGTTAGATGGTTGGGTAGGTATATAGATGGGGGAGGGGTTAAGTTACAGTTAGATGGTTGGGTAGGTATATAGTTGGGGGGAGGGGTTAAGTTACGGTTAGATGGTTGGGTAGGTATATATTGGGGGGAGGGGTTAAGTTACGGTTAGATGGTTGGGTAGGTATATAGATGGGGGGAGGGGTTAAGTTACGGTTAGATGGTTGGGTAGGTATATAGATGGGGTGAGGGGTTGTTACGGTTAGATGGTTGGGTAGGTATATAGATGGGGGAGGGGTTAAGTTACAGTTAGATGGTTGGGTAGGTATATAGATGGGGGAGGGGTTAAGTTACGGTTAGATGGTTGGGTAGGTATATAGATGGGGTGAGGGGTTGTTACGGTTACATGGTTGGGTAGGTATATAGTTGGGCTTCGGGTTTAAGTTATGGAGTTGCGGCAAGGGTTAGAAGGTTGAAGTTAGAGTTAGGGTTCGAGTTATAGTTGGGAGCAGAGATAAAGTTGGGGTTTGGGTTAGAAGGTTAAGGTTTGGGTTGGAGGATTGTTGGGTTGGAGGATTGTTGGGTTGGAGGATTGTTGGGTTGGAGGATTGTTGGGTTGGAGGATTGTTGGGTTAGAAGGTTAAGGTTTGGGTTGGAGGATTGTTGGGTTGAAGGATTGTTGGGTTGGAGGATTGTTGGGTTGGAGGATTGTTGGGTTAGAAGGTTAAGGTTTGGGTTGGAGGATTGTTGGGTTGGAGGATTGTTGGGTTGGAGGATTGTTGGGTTGGAGGATTGTTGGGTTGGAGGATTGTTGGGTTAGAAGGTTAAGGTTTGGGTTGGAGGATTGTTGGGTTGGAGGGTGTCAAGGTTAGAGGTGGGCTCTATAGTTCAGTGGTTGTCCATAGTTGAGGACATTAATGGAATGGAGGACCTCACCTCGATGGGTATCAAATCTTGTGAAAAAAAAAAAAAAAAAAGTGGTTTTACTGGCATGAATTTACTTCCTCCATGGTAGACAAGTCCATTTTGGAGGGCTCAGGTGCTGCGTTGTCCTCTGAGGTGATGGTGGGGTCCTGAGGGGATGGAGACATTCTATCCCTACCCTAACCACCTTCCTACTCCCCCTTTGTCTTTGCCCCCCTTTTTTTTCTCTCTCTATTCCCCATGTTTTCTTGGCCCGCTGGTCGGCCTCTACTCTTCTCTTTCTCCCTCCTCACTGTCGTTATTCCAAAACGTTTAAGGGAGGTCCTTACCCTCCGACCTCATTGTGGGGTTCTGCTCTGTAATTAGTTTGGGGGTACAGACGATGGAGATTGTGGTGGCCTAGGGGGGGAGAACCTGAACCTAGTCTCTCTGTGGGGGTGGGTGCAGTAGATTCAGAAGCTCTGGGGATCTAGGGGGTGTTATGTGACAGTAGAGGGAGTGGAGCCCAGAGAGTGCCCTCCCCTGCAGAACGTGAGAAGCTGTGTACATAGGAGAATATTCAAGCCGGTCATTTGTCCTCCTCTAAGTGTCCTCAGGGTGCTGTGATGTCTTCAGGAAGCTATGTACAGCCCCCTGCCCCTTCCACCAGCCATGAACCGTACTCTTCGCTCCTCGCACAACCTCCTGCTCTCTAGCTCCTTTGTCTCCTCCTCCCATGCTCGTCTCCAGGACTTCTCCAGAGCTTCCCCCATCCTCTGGAACTCTCTACCCCAATTTAGTCTGCATCAGTCTGCCCCTGCCCCACAGTTACTACCTTTTGTACCACTAGCCCCTCCCTCCTAGATTGTAAGCTCCAAGGATCCAGTCCTCCTATCCCTCTTGTATTGTTGCTGTATTGCCTCCTGTTATATTGTAAAGCGCTGATCACAGTGTTGGTACCATATAAATCCTGTATAATAATAATGATTTGCCTGCATTGCATAGACAAGTGTAGACACCCAGTGATGACATCACCAGGATGAAAATAAGACACAGAAAGAAAATGGAAAGGTTTTGTTTAAAAGATTGGGAGGGGATTGGAACACCTGAATCACATGATATGGAGGGGATTGGAACACCTGAATCACATGATTTGGAGGGGATTGGAACACCTGAATCACATGATTTGGAGGGGATTGGAACACCTGAATCACATGACTGGGAGGGGATTGGAACACCTGAATCACATGATATGGAGGGGATTGGAACACCTGAATCACATGATATGGAGGGGATTGGAACACCTGAATCACATGACTGGGAGGGGATTGGAACACCTGAATCACATGATAGGGAGGGGATTGGAACACCTGAATCACATGACTGGGAGGGGATTGGAACACCTGAATCACATGATAGGGAGGGGATTGGAACACCTGAATCACATGATACGGAGGGGATTGGAACACCTGAATCACATGATACGGAGTGGATTGGAACACCTGAATCACATGATACGGAGGGGATTGGAACACCTGAATCACATGATTGGGAGGGGATTGGAACACCTGAATCACATGACTGGGAGGGGATTGGAACACCTGAATCACATGATAGGGAGGGGATTGGCACACCTGAATCACATGATATGGAGGGGATTGGAACACCTGAATCACATGATATGGAGGGGATTGGAACACCTGAATCACATGATTGGGAGGGGATTGGAACACCTGAATCACATGATACGGAGGGGATTGGAACACCTGAATCACATGATATGGAGGGTATTGGATCACCTGAATCACATGATTGGGAGGGGATTGGAACACCTGAATCACATGATACGGAGGGGATTGGAACACCCTGAATCACATGATATGGAGGGTATTGGATCACCTGAATCACATGATTGGGAGGGGATTGGAACATCTGAATCACATGATATGGAGGGGATTGGAACATCTGAATCACATGATATGGAGGGGATTGGCACACCTGAATCACATGATATGGAGGGGATTGGAATACTTGAATCACATGATTTGGAGGGGATTGGAACACCTGAATCACATGATTGGGAGGGGATTGGCACACCTGAATCACATGATATGGAGGGGGTTGGAACACCTGAATCACATGATATGGAGGGGATTGGAACACCTGAATCACATGATTGGGAGGGGATTGGAACACCTGAATCACATGATTGGGAGGGGATTGGCACACCTGAATCACATGATATGGAGGGGGTTGGAACACCTGAATCACATGATATGGAGGGGATTGGAACACCTGAATCACATGATATGGAGGGGATTGGAACACCTGAATCACATGATATGGAGGGGATTGGAACCCCTGAATCACATGATATGGAGGGGGTTGGAACCCCTGAATCACATGATTGTGAGGGCGGGGCCAATACCTTGGGCTCTATACATTGGTGTCTCTGGAGGCTGTCGGCATCTGTAGGGTCCTCCGGGTTCTATTTTTCGGTTTGGTTGCGATTCTTCTTTTATGTCGGATTAAGTCTCATTTCATCTTCCGGTTCGGCTGATTGGCTGCAGGTTTTTTCGTGGGAATGCCGCCGCCTCCTAATCTGATTCATCCTATTGGAATAAATCGTTCTCTATATTAGCCGTAATTGAACTTATCTGAGTGTTGCTGGTTTTTCATCCTTTTGGTTGGTGAAGTGGTGAGCGCGCCGTTTAATAGGATTAGCATTCTATTCGTTGCTCGTGTCGCACAATCCGGGCTGCCGCTACAACAAAGCCAGAACGCCGACTTATCGCTCGCCTTTGAAATGGATCAATATGTAAACTGCCGCGGGGAAATCGGCTTTGTATTTCGTAGTGGCGGATCGCCCCGTGTATGGCCAGCACTGGACCTCATCTGCACAGGACACCAATGGAGGTGGAAAAGATCCTTTATTGCGAAGGATGAGGATGACAGATTGGGAGCTTGTATCTTTAGGACGGCGCCACCTTTGTTCAGGCATCATCCAGGGACACAATCTGCTTCCTGGACAGAGATGCCGGCTCAGAGATGACACCATCATGTAAATCCTGGCTGTGTTCACAAATGTCTGACACAGATCAGCCCCTGCTGCTGCCTCTCAGCTTGTGAGACTGAGGAAATGCCTCCTCCTCCTTCTACAAAGTTACAATGTACAGTCTGATCACTGGGGGAGGAGACTGAGGAAATGCTCCCTCCTCCTTCTACAAAGTTACAATGTACAGTCTGATCACTGGGGGAGGAGAGACTGAGGAAATGCTCCCTCCTCCTTCTATAAAGTTACAATGTACAGTCTGATCACTGGGGGGAGGGGAGACTGAGGAAATGACTCCTCCTCCTTCTACAAAGTTACAATGTACAGTCTGATCACTGGGGGAGGAGAGACTGAGGAAATGCCTCCTCCTCCTTCTACAAAGTTACAATGTACAGTCTGATCACTGGGGGAGGGGAGACTCAGGAAATGACTCCCCCTCCATCTACAAAGTTACAATGTACAGTCTGATCACTGGGGGAGGTGAGACTGAGGAAATGCCTCCTCCTCCTTCTACAAAGTTACAATGTACGGTCTGATCACTGGGGGAGGGGAGACTGAGGAAATGACTCCTCCTCCTTCTACAAAGTTACAATGTGCAGTCTGATCACTGGGGGAGGAGACTGAGGAAATGCCTCCTCCTCCTTCTACAAAGTTACAATGTACAGTCTGATCACTGGGGGAGGGGAGACTGAGGAAATGCCTCCTCCTCCTTCTACAAAGTTACAATGTACAGTCTGATCACTGGGGGGAGGAGAGACTGAGGAAATGCCCCCTCCTCCTTCTACAAAGTTACAATGTACAGTCTGATCACTGGGGGAGGGGAGACTGAGGAAATGCCCCCTCCTCCTTCTACAAGGGTACAATGTACAGTCTGATCTGATCTGCCATGCTTTCTCCTGCATGTCTGTGATCTGTTTGGAGTCTCATCAGCATTGCATTGACACCCCCTGCAGATTGGTAGTGCGGTGCGTTGTGATCGCAGTGTGGGAAACGCACGCGGAACGCGGACTTCCCTCACTGCGTTCTGGAGAGAGTGGGCGTGACCTGAAATCCTATTGGTTCTCAAACACAGATATCAGGAATGATCGCTCACATCCTTGGGTCGGAATCGATGGAATGGCGGGTGTTCGGTTTGTGATTTTCATTCAGTTTGATCGGTTGTGTCATTGATCGATCATATTGATACGTATTGATACCCGGCTGAGGGGAGCCTCCGCCATGACAGGTACAGAGGCCGGGCCCTTGCTGACCATCATTGGGAAATGCTACTTCTCTGGTGGTCACTTCAATACATTCACAAGCATGCAGCAAGTGAAGTCAGACTACAGACAGAAGTGACTTGCATAGAAGGTCCAGGTTAGAGATTCCCGGAACCTGTTGGATCAGCCTGGCAGGGGGCACTTCGAGGAGGAGGTCGGTCCCGGCGTACGTCCCCTTTAAGGACCATACATCTGCGCTGTGCGCTGCCCTCATTCCGGAGACAATCCGTCCAGTCAGCACATTGCATGCGGCGGATCCCCTCCCCGGGTCGGCAGGTACCTCCAGTCTGCTGATTTGGCTGTCACCAGCCACAGGGAGGAAATACTGATTATGCGGTATAAATAGCCTGTAATGTGCGAGGGAGGGGGGGGGTGACAGGACGCTGCGGATTGGGACCCCACATGGGGCTCGCTGCACCTGCTGCCGTCTGTTCATTCATACAAATGACATTCTTATTAGTGACCGGCCCGGCAATCCTCCTGGACAGCGTGATCCGGGCCCGGCAATCCTCCTGAACAGCGTGATCCGGGCCCGGCAATACTCCTGGACAGCGTGATCCGGGCCCGGCAATCCTCCTGGACAGCGTGATCCGGGCCCGGCAATCCTCCTGGACAGCGTGATCCGGGCCCGGCAATCCTCCTGGACAGCGTGATCCGGGCCCGGCAATCCTCCTGGACAGCGTGATCCGGGCCCGGCAATCCTCCTGGACAGCGTGATCCGGGCCCGGCAATCCTTCTGGACAGCGTGATCGGGGCCCGGCAATACTCCTGAACAGCGTGATCCGGGCCCGGCAATCCTCCTGGACAGCGTGATCGGGGCCCGGCAATACTCCTGAACAGCGTGATCCGGGCCCGGCAATACTCCTGAACAGCGTGATCCGGGCCCGGCAATCCTCCTGAACAGCGTGATCCGGGCCCGGCAATCCTCCTGAACAGCGTGATCCGGGCCCAGCAATACTCCTGGACAGCGTGATCGGGGCCCGGCAGTCCTCCTGGACAGTGTGATCTGGGTCCGGCAATCCTCCTGGACAGCGTGATCTGGGCCCGGCAATCCTGGACAGTGTGATCCGGGTCCCGGCAATCCTGGACAGTGTGATCCGGGTCCCGGCAATCCTGGACAGTGTGATCCGGGCCCGGCAATCCTGGACAGTGTGATCAGGGCCCGGCAATCCTGGACAGTGTGATCCGGGCCCGGCAATCCTGGACAGTGTGATCCGGGCCCGGCAATCCTGGACAGTGTGATCCGGGCCCGGCAATCCTGGACAGTGTGATCCGGTCCCGGCAATCCTGGACAGCGTGATCCGGTCCCGGCAATCCTGGACAGTGTGATCCGGGCCCAGCAATCCTCCTGGACAGTGTGATCCGGGCCCAGCAATCCTCCTGGACAGTGTGATTCGGTCCCAGCAATCCTCCTGGACAGTGTGATTCGGTCCCAGCAATCCTCCTGGACAGTGTGATCCGGGCCCAGCAATCCTCCTGGACAGTGTGATTCGGTCCCAGCAATCCTGGACAGTGTGATTCGGTCCCAGCAATCCTGGACAGCGTGATCCGGGCCCGGCAATCCTGGACAGTGTGATCCAGGCCCAGCAATCCTCCTGGACAGTGTGATCCGGGCCCAGCAATCCTCCTGGACAGCGTGATCCGGGCCCAGAAAATTCTTCCAGAACCTTCCGACAGTAAAATAAAAAAGTTTATAGTCGTATAAATATGGAATCCAAAATGTGTATTTATGACGGATTACGAGGAGAATAATGGGCTGAAAATATGAGTTACTGTAATTTATATAGACACAGGGAGAAAGAATGGCCCCCAAATCATCGGTGTCAGTGGGATTGGAGTCCCCAAGATAGAGTGCCCTTCAAATCATTAGTGTCAGGGTAATAGTGTGCCAATGTTACTTTGTATCTCTATCTCCCGTCTGATCGATGTTTATAAAACAATGTTACTTTGTATCTCTATCTCCCGTCTGATCGATGTTTTATAAACAATGTTACTTTGTATCTATCTCCCGTCTGATCGATGTTTATAAACAATGTTACTTTGTATCTATCTCCCGTCTGATCGATGTTTATAAAACAATGTTACTTTGTATCTATCTCCCGTCTGATCGATGTTTATAAACAATGTTACTTTGTATCTATCTCCCGTCTGATCGATGTTTATAAACAATGTTACTTTGTATCTATCTCCCGTCTGATCGATGTTTATAAACAATGTTACTTTGTATCTCTATCTCCCGTCTGATCGATGTTTATAAACAATGTTACTTTGTATCTCTATCTCCCGTCTGATCGATGTTTATAAACAATGTTACTTTGTATCTCTCTATCTCCCCCGTCTGATCGATGTTTATAAACAATGTTACTTTGTATCTCTCTATCTCCCGTCTGATCGATGTTTATAAACAATGTTACTTTGTATCTCTATCTCCCATCTGATCGATGTTTATAAACAATGTTACTTTGTATCTCTCCATCTCCCGTCTGATCGATGTTTATAAACAATGTTACTTTGTATCTCTCCATCTCCCGTCTGATCGATGTTTATAAACAATGTTACTTTGTATCTCTATCTCCCATCTGATCGATGTTTATAAACAATGTTACTTTGTATCTCTCCATCTCCCGTCTGATCTAAGTTTATAAACAATGTTACTTTGTATCTCTCCATCTCCCGTCTGATCGATGTTTATAAACAATGTTACTTTGTATCTCTCTATCTCCCGTCTGAACGATGTTTATAAACAATGTTACTTTGTATCTCTATCTCCCGTTTGATCGATGTTTATAAACAATGTTACTTTGTATCTCTATCTCCCGTCTGATCGATGTTTATAAACAATGTTACTTTGTATCTCTCCATCTCCCGTCTGAACGATGTTTATAAACAATGTTACTTTGTATCTCTCCATCTCCCGTCTGATCGATGTTTATAAACAATGTTACTTTGTATCTCTATCTCCCGTCTGATCGATG